ATAGATAAATTCAGGTCCATTTAAAATTCAATTTCTGATGGATGAAATAATCTTTTTTTTTCTTAGACATTTTTTTTGGAATATTTTGAAGGTGAATATGTCATTTGGGAATTTTAATCACATTGAAATTTGTAAACTGAATTTTTTGTGACAGAAATGCAAAAGACAAAGATATTCAAACATTCTTCAATTCTTCAAACATCTGTCAGGGTTAAACATTTCAAATGGGAAAAATCAAGCTAATTTAAAATTCAAAAATCTGGTATACTGCAGTTTTTTAAATAGTTTACAACATCCGTCTACTCATCATGATCCCTCCGGGGCTCTGTAGCTGTTGCATGTGACAGATGTCTGAGCCAAGTAAAAATCAACATTTGAATTTCAACTAAATTCAACTTATTTTTGTATAGCCCTAAATCACAACAGTAGCAATCTCAGAGAACTTTACAAAACTGTCGATTTGTCAGCACAAATCAGAGAACGAAACAGTTGAAACACATGAAATGCCATGATAATGTTTGCGGAACTGTCAAACTCCCCAAAAAGTGTTTAAAATATAAAATAGTTTGCAGACATGGCAGAGGTAAACCTGCTAAATAAAAACCATTTAACCCCTTCTGGGCCGATGGCACGCATGGTGTTTTGTATCACTGCATTTTCTGTGTTTGAACGGTTTGATTCTCAGATCTGTGTTGGCGAATCTAGAACTTTGTAAAGTGCCCCAAGATAGCAAGATAATGTTGTAATTTGACCAGTGCTCTACCAACTGAGCTGCTGTCACTGTTGTTATTTATGGCTATGCAAAAATTATTGTAATTGAATTGAATAGAACTTGCTGTTTTATTGTGCTGTATTCTAACATGTAAGTTAGTAACCTGCACTTTTTATGTGAATTAAGATGAAGTTATATGATTGTATTGTTTAGGACTACAGATGGAAAGTAGCACAGTGTTAAATCTGGGGCAGGCATCTTTTTAATGCAATCGCACGTTTTCCTTGATAAATTAAACTTACTCAAGACCAAGATACACCTACCCACGGTTGGGTGTCTGTTCGTTTTGAATGACGTTGGATATAGGTTTGTGTGTTCTGGGACTTGATGGGCCATATTGGGTCAATTTCAGCATACACAGGATGGCAAAGCCGTTGGGTCTTCTGCTTGGTATGTACAAACTGCGAATGATGTGTGTGGGATTGAGAGTGGAGGGAGCTGTCCACAGCAGCACAGGGGGGTGACTCACAAGACACTCAGATCGTTCACGCAGCGTTTTTTAGTTGGCTGTAGTTGGAGCGGTGTACTGTATCTAGTATCAAGGCAACCTGGGCCAACAAGAGCCAACAGAGCAGTTGGCAGTTGGACGTTGGCTCTCGTCTGGTTGGTCAATCTCGGCCTATGGTCTCATCACCAGTTTTCAGCACAAACGCACAGCCGGATTACCCCGGCAGATGCCAATCAGCCCAAAGAGGCGTATGGTGACACACATGGCTCTCATAATGGACAAAATCAAAGTCACAAATTTTTACATTTACAAAACACACTCTAGACAAAAAGCAAGTTCTCTAATGCTTTTTGAGTTTCTATACAGCACTCTGCTTCAGATCACAAACACAACGCAGGAGTTGTTTGTCTCACTGTCCACACTTCACAATGGGCTATTGAGGGAACAAGGCAGGTCTGTGCAGTTTGGCCTCTGCTATCCTGGGGCCCCGCAGGACTCCGGACCCCAGCTCGGTGCCAGGCAGACGCCCTCTACATCCCGGTGTGACACTGTGGCTATGCAGGCACTGTGATGTGACATATGTCCTACACATCGTGCTGTGATCCGTGCCGTTCACGTAGAAGCCTGACCCACTTTCCCACATGCGGTCAGGAACAATGTCCACCACACAAAGGTTAGACTGAAAATAACTCGGCAGCCATTCCAGTTTTGGGAAGTAACTAAATACATGTATCCTCTTATGTTTTCTATTGCACACTTGTTGGATGACCCAGGACTCACCATAAGCCTCTTTGGGCAACTACTGATTATGAGACAAAGATCTGAAATGCCAATATTAATAATAACAATGTAGATGATTTATATAGTTATTTCTTAAACACACAAAAAATGCAATTAGTGATTTCACAACTGCATGTGAAAGCTCTAGCTTTACCGTCAGACCTCTGAAGCAAAGAATGGCAGAGTCTGGGAACACCAGGTGCCACAATGAGGTGGCTGCGTCTGCAACTGTTGTTGTGTCCTCAGGCAAGGCACTTCACAGACATTTCCTAGTATGAGTCTGGTGTGTGCATGAAGGGTTGGTGGTGGTCGGAAGGGCCAATGGCACATATGGGTTTCTTCCCCTCATAGTGTGTTCCAGGGCAGCTGTGGCTACAGTAGTAGTTCATCACCGCCGTTTGTGCAGTGAAAGAATCATGACATGAAGCGTTTTTGAGTGTCCAAAAAATTGCTTTTTATATATTAAAAAAGCACTGCACTAATATACCTCACAGCAAGAAGGTTGCAAATGTGTGTTGGACTATCCAGTGCTACCTGTCCAGCAGCCTAGCCTCTGTCAAGTCTGCCCCAGGGCAGCCATGGCTACAATTTTACTTGCAGCCCATGCTTTGAAACTAAAGTCGCAGCTGCATAAGTATGTTTATATCTGCTGTTGTACAGTTTCATTTCCTTTTGCTGATTTTCAACTTTTAGTGCTGTGCATGTATGTTTACCCTTCCATAATTAGCTTTAGTATATCCATGACCTTAGTTTTATCTTATGCTATGTTTTAACATTGCAAAATACAACTCATTATAAAGGTATAAGAGAATACATTACAGCATTGCAAACGGTGAAGGAATACTTTAATGTTTCAACTAAACTAAATACTGTAAATGAGTAGAATTAATTACAATGTGACTTTTATTTCACTGCGACCGAGCCACTGAGAAGTCCGGGGCTGACAGGGGACAGAATGAGCCAGTGGGACGTGGTGTTCCAACAGCTCTATTACATGAAAAGCCAGGACTTACATAATGAAGACAGTGACTCATGTAAAGGATCAGGCGCGAGTCAATACAATTTGAAATACTTGTATTAAATTGTTTCAGATCAATAATGTGATTGCATAATAATGATTCATGTGGGTCATAAGGCTACAGCAGACAAGGCACATTATGTCCACCTCAAGATAATTTCCTTTCACTGCACTATCCCACTGTAATACAGTTACAGGTAATTTGATTGCCAATGATTCAATTATACAGTACGTATTGAGAGATCACCTACAACACACTGTTCCTGTCAAGAACAAAATAAACATAACTGGTAATAAAAATAAAAAAAATCACTGTAAAGCTGTACACTTTAAAAAAATCTAATTCACAAATAGAATACACCTGTCTGGTCAGTTATTATTGGTACAAGCTTGTTTTAAGAAATCATAACTAATTCACATTTCAGTCTAATACAGTGAGAGGGGCTTGGGATATTATGGATCACAGTGAGACATGACCTGGACCAGACGCAGATATTGCTGGGTTGCAATCACATGGTCTGAAGGGGGCATCGCAGGGAGGCGTAGGCCGTAAGTGTTTAAGTGTTCTTCTCCTGTTAGTTAGACAGGGATATGAACACATAGGAGATTTTATCTCTTATTTCAAGTAAAAACTACCTTCAATACAGCGCACGCCTTGTAGAGTTTTAATTAGTTCAATATTTTCAAAAATGAGGTGGAATAAGCAATTAAGCAGCTGTGACAGTGGTGATAGGGGAGCAAACAAAAGTTCTGATCAATAATTACATTAAAAAGACATACATATTACTTTTAACGACATACCCTGTATTGTCATTTGTTGAGCTGTAAATAAAAAAAGTTAGGAATTAATTTCCAGGGGGAAGTACCACAGCAGTAAGCTAACAGCGGGGGCTGCGACAAACACAGCCAAACGGTTTGGCACAGAGCTGGGATACTACTTAAGAAATTACCCAGTCGTGGAAATAACAATAAACTATCACACTTTTAGCATAATGGCTAGATACTTTTTTATTAGAATAACTTGGTTTAAAAGGACCTTTGGCATTTCAAAATGATTTTTGCTTGTTGCCATGGTTACTACAACGATTGTAGTAACCAATAGTCCATGTGATTTATCAGATCAGATTCAGATTCAGATTCAGATTCATTTATTTGCCATTTGCAGTATTTTATTTTATTTTATTTTTATTTTTTTCATGATAAAGTAATGACCATGTACATCTGTAGTGTGCAGTTTTTTGGACATTGTAAATGTCACTAACGGTTTAGTGCTCATATTATTTGTCAGAAAGGCTCATACCTATTTTACCACTGTTTTCTTTGACCGTGCACACGCTCGTGGACGCACATAATCTTCCTTGATTCGCATCAGCGTGAGAGTAAACAGCTCGAGCATTCAGACTCATATGGCACCAGGGGTGGCATATGAGTATCGGGCGTATTGGGCAATGCCCGAAGGGCCGGTGCCCATATTTGGGCTGGCCTGTGAGTCTCATACAAAAACATTTTTTTGAGAAATGTGTAAATCTGTTACAAAATGTTCTAAGAAACAGCCGGGCCGTCAAGGAGGCATTGTGGTCTCAATAGCCATTCTGCAAGCTGTGTGCAATGTGAATGTGATTGAGGAATGACATGGATATGTTAACATCATGCTATTATATACTTTCCTCAACTATCTTTTAGTTCCAAAGACAAGCCAACTGTCTATAATAAAAATTCCAAGTTTTTCCCATGACTTCCTGTTATTTCCTCTACATTTTTGTTAAGCCCAATGGAAAGTTTCCTTCCTTGAAAATCCCCAAAATGTTGCAGTTACCTTCAACGGTGTGCAAATAAAGGCAGCAGAGGGGCCCGTTGTCAGGGGAAGTGGATGTTACCGGATGGAGATCTGGGGCAAGTACACCTTGACCTTAGCTGAACAGGCTGCCCTTAAGCCCCTGTTACATGCAATACAAAGAAATATGATCCAACGATTCACTCACCTCTCCATTGAAGAAGCAGAATATTGTGGCCACCAGCAGACCCTGAAGAGAGACAGGACACAGTTAATATTTGGACTGCAACATATGTGACAACAATGCCTAATTTGGAAACTGAATTATGTATTCACAAAATCGTCTTTGTCTGATAAATATCTTTATCATTTAAGTATCATTGCTCAGAACTATGAAGAAACTAGTATACACCTCCATAGACTCCCGCCTCTGAAACTAGGACACCATATGAGGTACTCCCTGTGGCTGTCAAACTGTTGCACTTCCCCCTTTAGTAAACAGAGTGATTTCAAATGAGTGTAGCATTTTACTGAGGCTATATATAACATTTTAATGCTTGTCTATTTCCTTTGAGAAATTAGATTAGATTAGACCCTAATCTAATCTATTTTCTCTTCTTCACTGAGAAGAAGAGGCATTACACAGACATTCATCTGTAGGTGAGCCACACTCTGACTAAATATATTGAGTGGAGTGCGGCGCTGGCCTTGTCAAAGCACTTCATCAGAGGAGCAAGTGAGTTCCATACCCACACAGGACAGTGCTGCGCACTTCAGTAAGCACACAATAACACAAATACTGCTGTCTAGTGCTCAGGGACGAGTCAGTCTCCGACTCCATATACAAGGATGCACATACAGTGCACTCATTTAAGCCATTTCAGGCATGCAGCCTGAATCTTTCTCTACAACATGGTCACATGACTCATTTCCTGGGTTTGAGAGTAATTAGTATTCATGTTATTTGTTTCCAATTTGTATGGAAGAGCATTGTTATCACACAAAAATATCTCTGGTATTTTTTGTGTGTGACAACAGTGAGAAGTGGGTGTCGGCGTGTCGTGGGGATGGGCCACTTGCCTGGTAGTGCATGAGAATATGCATGATGTACTCGTAGACCTCCCCGGCCACGCGGTTCTCCGGTCTCCAGGGGAAGATGACAAACTGTATCCCGAGCAGAGGCACCAGGATGAGGGTGGCCCTCACTGCCTTCATGTACATGTTGGACTCAGCACGGTGCGTGGTCCGCAGCTTGGTGACCAGAACTCGGATGATGTTCAGCAGGAAGAAAAGATTCACCTGCACACAACACACAGGAATGTTCAGCCGGAAAGTCAAAACTCTCCAACGTTGAACTTATGTTAGTACGTTTTCACAGGTTTATACAACATAATAAACAACCCATACCAACAGCAGCTCATGGAGATGTGTACAAAGGAGTATGCTTAATGCAGTGTTTGTAAAAAAATAAATAAAAGTGCTTCTTGTCAAAGGAGGTATGGTTTATTACGAATACGAATAGGAAAACTTTATTGTCCACCATGGTGGTTGTTAAAATACTTAAAAAAACAAACATCCAGCAAAATATCATGTTGCAATACGTTCTCTGTACAATTAGACACCAAAAGTAAGAACTAACTGGGAACCGAATCCCCAACAAAGTCTCATCAGGCCAAAAGACAAGAGTTCACTTGAGGACTTCTCAACGGTTAAGAGTGTTTGCCGCTTTCACTGGTCTGGGCACAAAAAGAGAACTTCCTGATGTAAGTTTGGAACTCCAGATGCATGCATTCTTGTCTTTGGTTCGATTCTCCAAGTTAATATGATAGCTGAAGTCCTTGTTCAGTATTTGGGAATAGAATAACCGTAAACGCAGCAACCTGATATTCTGATACACTGATCCTGCATCCCGCTAATGCAAATAAGACGGATAGCTGCGGCCTTTCTGTGGCTTGAGATGCTTCATTTTTGGGGGAAGCAACCGTCTTAGCAGAACATCTTCACCTGTTCTAATGCAAAGCTAACCCTGCAGAGGAACTGCCCATAGTGTTTGTTCTTAATCCGACATTAGGAAGGAGACAGGAGATAGGGTCCTGTCTCCTTCCTCTTTTTCCAAGTGGGGTTCTAAATTATTTTTAAGTTGGCTCTACAACTGCTATAACACTAGAACTCCCAGGGTAGAATCCCCCCACTTTCTTCTAAATGGAAGTCTACAAATGTGTGTGGTGGCCGCGGATCTGCAGGACGCGTACAGTGCCCTGAAAAAGTATTCACCCCCCTTGGCTTTTTACATATGTGCATATGTATTCACCCCCTTTGTTATGAAGCCCATAAAAAGCTCAGGTGCAACCAATTACCTTCAGAAGTCACATAAATAGTGAAATTATGTCCACCTGTGTGCAATCTAAGAGTCACATGATCTGTCCGTACATATACACACCTTTTTTAAAAGGCATCAGAGGCTGCAACACCTAAGCAAGAGGCACCACTAACCAAACACTGCCATGAAGACCAAGGAACTCTTCAAACAAGTAAGGGACAGTGTTGTTGACAAGTACAAGTCAGGGTTAGGTTATACAAAAATATCCAAATCTTTGATGATCCCCAGGCGCACCATCAAATCTATCATAACCAAATGGAAAGAACATGGCACAACAGCAAACCTGCCAAGAGACGGCCGCCCACCAAAACTCACGGACCGGGCAAGGAGGGCATTAATCAGAGAGGCAGCACAGAGACCTAAGGTAACCCTGGAGGAGCTGCAGAGTTCCACAGCAGAGACTGGAGTATCTGTACATAGGACGACAATAAGCAGTACGCTCCATAGAGTTGGGTTTCATGGCAGAGTGGCCAGAAGAAAGCCATTACTTTCAGCAAAAAACAAAATGGCACGTTTTGAGTCGAGAAAAGGCATGTGGGAGACTCCCAAAATGTATGGAGGAAGGTGCTCTGGTCTGATGAGACTAAATTTGAACTTGTCGGCCATCAAGAAAAACAATCCATGTTAATTCCAGGTTGTGAGGCAACAAAACACACAAAATACCAAGGCTTTTGCAAGGAACTGTAACTACACTCAACGTCCCCCAATCCCCAATTCAACCACAAACTATTTCTTTCTATTTTGATTTCACTGGTTGTTTAATGGTTTGTTCTTCAGTGGATGTAAAATGAGTGGGAGTGTATGTGGTGTATAACAATTAAACTAGAATAATCAATTAAATTCTTGTCTTAAGTTAAATAAACTTATATTTTGTTATATCTCTCCACATCCAAACAAACCTGTGTGATCTTTTGAGGCATGGGATCTCAAAATCTGAGTGCCATTGTTGGTATTAAATATTGACATCATAGTGATAAGTGAGATTCTAGTTAAGTTCTTCCGAGGCAGCAACACATGGTTTCCCAACAGGAATTCACAACAGCAGCTGCTCCGCATAGCTCTATGTTTCATATCTATGTCCCCCTGGGCAAGAAAAATGACATTGAACCTGACCAGTCTAATCGGGTCAAACACACACAAACATGACCGCAGAGTACTGATGAGTGAGTGTGCTGGTTTGATGTGACTCACCAGCAGGGCGGCGACAATGGGCCCATGGACCGCATACAGCAGGTGAGTCTCCACGCTCATCCAGCACCTGGGACACACACAAAATGCATACCCATAATTTGCACACATTACACACACACACACACACACACACACACACACACACACACACACACACACACACTTTCAAAACATGTACATTTTTCTGGTCAATAATTTAATTTAATTTTTTTTAACACTCATGATTGTGTGACCTGACCTGATCATGACATACTTTGATTACACCATCCCCATCAACCGCCAGCTGAATACATCCAAAACTTGATTTTGGCTGTAACAATTCTCACATGCCTGTTGCTATTGATAACTTTGATGTGCAGATTGTAGAGAAGTGCAACTCAAGTTTTGGAGAGAAAAACTCTAACCTGTTAAGAAAGCTCGTGAGCGTTTCTACTTTCTGCTGAAACTTAGAGAATTTACCACTAACTCTAAGAATTGCTGCACCATTAAAAGTTTGCTTGTTGGTTCTGTGACTGTGTGGTTTGGTGACATCACAGACAAAGAAAGGAGAGATCTAAACAAGGTGCTCAGCTCTGCAAAGAGGAGTGTGAGCTGTGAGCTGCCTGTTCTGGAGGTTCTTTATGAATCCAGACATTTTAACCAAGTCTCGTGCTCACTGGGGACTTTTGCAGATGTATTCCAATGTGGTTTTATTGCAAATGGCAAATAAAATGAATCTGAATCTGAAACCAATCTGACAGTTTGATGAAATTCTAATGAAATTCTCAAGCCCGAGTAAAAATTCATATTGTGCACATACCACGTCAGGAGCCTAAAAATTGTCCACATCTTTCATTTGATCACTAAATGAGTTGACACCACTTCAATGATCATACAGTGATTAACCACAGGGACTTACTTGTCGTCAAAGTAGGTCTTCCTGGCCACGGCATGGATGGAGGCTGGCACCAGAGGGAATCCTGCAGATGACCAGTCATCAGCGCATTCAAAAACTTGTTACTTATACATTGCTCAAAGCTAAAGTGCATGTGAAACTCTGATCCCGTAAGCCCTCATAAGCTAAGCAGGGCAGGGCCTGGTTAGAACTGGGAAACCTATGCTCACCTCATGCTTGACTTCAACTGTTAAGCGTGAAGCTATTGTTGTGGGCAAAACTTGCACCCACATTTCCTGGTTTGAGTCTAGTGTGCGTGGCAGTCAGAGCAGCGGGGTGTATAGACTTGCTTGCCACACTTCTGTCAGACTGACCCAAGGCAGCTGTAGTAATAGATTATTGAGTGAAAGCAAAGGAAGGTTTCTCACCCATCATCTGTACTTCTTAGCAAGTTTTCCCGACGTTTCGTCCTCAATCCAAAGAACTTCTTCAGGGAATGAATTCTCAGACCGCACGTTGGAGATTTATAACCTATGGGTGTGGTTAGCCACACCCTAATCCTGATACTAACTCATAAACAATCTAAGGTCTGTTTGATGTAGAAGGGAGCAGATCTAACGACCCTGCTGAGGCTAACGACCCTAACTCATTAGCATGGCACTGACCTTTTCCCAAGTTAGGGCGTTGTTTTTAGGATGTCGTCATAGATGTGAGGCAAAACAAATCTTAACCTTCCTTCTCTGTTAAGAGAGGTTTTTGTTTCCTCACAAAAATGGCTTCTTTCACCCCTCTCTCAAACCAATTCTTCTCCCGAGCCAGAATTTTAACCTCAGTGTCATCCACCGTGTGGTTGGAGGCCTTGAGGTGGAGATGAACAGCCGACTGTGGCCACAGTGGATTTTCACATTCCCTGAAGAAGTCCTTTGGATTGAGGACGAAACGTCGGGAAAACTTGCTAAGATGATGGGTGAGAAACCTTCCTTTGCTTTGACTAATCCCTGTACGACTGAGGGCTTACACAAACAAAATTATTGAGTGACTGAATAATGCAATATAAATATTTTTTAGCTGTAATGAAAAGCGAGTAACAAATAGCACACATTATTATTATTAATTCACAAATCATGGCAAATAGAGCTATGTTTACAATTCTGATTGCTTTATGTCTTTAAAATCCACGTTTATTCCTGGTCTGAGTTATTTCCAACGTGAAACTACTTGGAAGTTGTGTAGAGAGATAATCAAGCAAAAATGATTGAAAATTTTTGCCCAAGGCGGTTGTATAAATGGTTTAACTAATGACAAGAAAATTACCCCTGAATGTGATGAATGGATATTTTGTCTCCATGATGACTGCTATTTGACGTGTTACAAAATATCCAAAATGTCCAACGTTGTTACAATTGGTCATGTTATTATGTATAATGCACGTCACGTCTGTGATTCTGACAGGTCAACTTCAGAACGTCACATGCGCAAATAAATAAATACCGATAACTCCATGGAAATCTTGAGCCACACAATTACATTTCAACCGGGATGAACACATGTGGAATATTATCTTGTGACATTCTAATCTACTCTCTTGTGTTTGGAAGCTGTAGTCCCAAGAACCAAACATATTACATGTTGAATAAATCATGAATTGTGTCAATTCCTTTCAATATTATTATTCAATTAATAGAAACAGCTTTTAAGATAAAACCCTGGCAATAGTTACAATGTTCCTATCCAATTGAACATTTTGTCTCATCTCTATCCGTATAGATGAGGTAAAAAAAATGATATACTTTATTTATTATTGTATAGTTTTCAGTTTACAATTCTCCTGAATGGGGGGCTATGGAGCCATGTCTGTGCCTGCGTGTGGACGTACCCCAGCCCAGCAGGTAGTACCAGTGCAAGTGCTGCTCCTCAGCGAACACGGCCACCACGATGAGCGTGTGCAGGTAGATGCCCTCACACAACATCCAGAAGTAGTTACAGCCCAGCATGTACATGTGGAAGAAGTGCAGCACCTTACAGCCCATCTGCAACAGCACAACAACCTTCAGGCACTCGAACAACCAGATCCAAGGATTTACCTACCCACGAGAAAGCAGGTTAGAAATAACTGTTGTCATGTTTAATCATTTCCTTATTCCAATGCAAGGTAAGTTTATTTGTATAGCACAAGTCATGCACAAGGCAACTCAAAGTGCAGAACAAAACAAGATAGCAATAAAATCATAAATATCACTGTACATTAAAAATAAAGATAAAAAAAAAAAAAATCCCTCAAATATTCCAGGTTAGTATTTGTGATTTGCATATTTCAACTAAAATACAGCACTGTTTTGAAGACTTGCTCTAAGAAACTTCAGGAATTTCATATTTCTGACCACAGTTTAGTTCTGGCTTTGTTTGAAGGCACAATGCACAGACACAATGGGCCTCATGTATGAAAGTTGCGTAGAAAAGGGTGTATATTTTGGGTGTATATTCCATTTACGCAAGATCCGACGTGGCATTTATGAACGTTTGAGATACGCACATATCTGAGCGTACGCACCTGCGGCTGTTGATAAATGCCGCGCTCAAAACCAGCGTATTTATGAAAGTCACGCCTAGAAATATTCAGAAACTGCCTGTTCCACGCCCTGTTTTTGCGACAGGTCAGCAGGAAGTCGGCTAAGAAGACTGTTTGGAAGCCTCAAAAAACACACACTTCTGAAATTATTCACGTTTAAAAAATATGTATATATACGCTCTATTATATATACGCGTTTTTCCCTAGTGTCTAGACCCACTGCAGCACTCATCTCTCCTGAAATTTAGAAGTAAATAAATAGATAATAAATGAATGAATGAATGAATGAGCCAGTTCCCACATGCGCATTGCATCCTATCTCTGCTCTGCGCAGTTTTGAGCAAGATCAATTGCGTTTATGGGGCTTTATGCACAAAACTAAGGAAAACCCACATTGCTTTGCCAGTGGTGAATGAGGCAAAACATATGCGTAATTACGTATAGGGCGCAGGGTCTGGTTAGTGAGTAAACGGCTAAGGAAAAATACTTCACGGAGCAGGGGATTGAGACCATTATGAACGAAGTGGGAAAAAGAATAAAGTCTTACTATTTGGAATTCTCAAAAGTGGCATCAAGGGGCTCAAAAAACAATATATGGAAAGAAATGACAGCATCTGTAAGCTGCGGGGGGCCTGCAACACGCACTTCTGAAGAGGTGAGTTTATTCATGTTCGAAGAAAAATACGCTATATTATATCAAACAGTTGATATATTGGGCCAATAGTAAGAATTCATTAATTTATGCTACAAGTGAAAAAAAAAGGAGCAACCTTTAGCGCAGCCCATAGAAGAAGTGCTCAGCAGCCCAGGGGGAGGACCGCCAGACCAAAGCATCCACGAGAAATTATAAAGAAATAAAATTATCTTCAAATTATGTATGTGATTATTATTTCAAAATGGTTGAATGAAGCCTGTCTGAGCTGTGGAGGCCGAAGGCGCTGGTGGCCATGGTCTCTCATCCGTGGGCTGTTCCACCAGTGGCACATGTGGTCCTGTGCCTGTTGTGAAGAACCGAGCCAGGACCATGTGGCCCACTTGTACCGGGAGGTACCAGAGCGTACCCCCTACATGTCCCAGAGCCTGATCAGACCCGCGCAGCGCTCCACGGTGGCGCGCGTCTTTGCTTGGACCCGCATGAACCAAATGCCATTACGCACTAATTGTAGGTGCATATAACAATCCACACATTCGTGGGAGACTGAGTTTGACATCTTGCAGGTTATTTAATAACACAAACTAGCCCTAATATAACTTTGTAAAATTGCATATTTGTAATGTGAGAGGTGTGATTCAGGGGGGAGTGCGGTTTTGGTCCAGACCCTGGAACACTGGTCCAGCTCATTACCTTTCATCGGGTACTAGAGGGATCATGGGAGTTTTCCATAGTACACATTAGGGGTGGGAACCTCAGGGTACCTCACGATACGATACGCGATACAAAGCTCACGATAACGATTATATCACAATAACGATTAGATATCAATAATGATTATATCACGATATGACAATTATCGATATATTGGTCAGAAATATACCATATGCCAATTTATGGCATAAATAAAAGAAAAATGTTAAGTGAAAAAATACACTTTATTTCATGATAAATGGAATGGAGATGCGTAATGTACTGTAGTCATATATTGAGTATTGATACTAATTGAAAAAATATTGAAAATCGATACTTGGCAAATGCAAATTGATCATCAATCGCAGGAGAAATTATCACAATATATTGTTATATCGATATATCGTCACACTCCTAGTGCACATGTACTTTGTGGATCGGGAAAAGGCGTTCCACCCGTGTTCCCTGGTGTGTCTTTTGGTGGGATTGTCTAGTAGAAATGGTTTCAGTTCAGAGCACTTTGCAGAAGGTCGTCCGGTCCCTGTACGATCGCATCACCAGCTCTAAGTCAAACCTGTTCCCATGGTGCACTTCCACCACGGCTGCTCATTGTCACGCTTCTGTTCACTGTTATTACGGACAGAACTGTGGCCATACCTGAACGTGAAAAGCCAGATCCTGTCAGACCTCTGAAGTTAAGCATGGAAGGGACTGGTAAGTACTCTGATGGGAGACTTCTGGAAACACCAAGTCCCATGTGGGGCGGCTGTAAAGTGGTAAACTGTTGTTGTGTGCGTATGGCGTGAATAAATATTGACATATGAAGCAACTTTAAAGTGATAGTCTGGAACTCTAAATTAATTACAAATTTTAAGAATTGTATTCAATTGACCTCCTGGCCTTAAATGTTGATATAAAACAAGTCATTTTATGAATTCTAATATTACGGGTAAGTCCCGCCTTCCCTTCTCTTAGCTATAGCTCAGAATCCACGATGCCGTCCACTTAAACCAATCAAGTCATGCCAAGGGCTGTCAATCATCGGCGCTCGTCCTCGTAGCTGCGCGCGTGCTCAGTTTTTTGCTTTCACAGAGCCTCCAAATCAAGCCTCTATTACTCTCTGGAACTACATGAAAAGTGAACAATGAATTCCATTTATATACGGAACCTATATCCATAATCAGATCCTCTGCAGATGTGTCCTATAATGTTCAATTAATGATAATAGCTACTTCCGGGTTAACCCCGATTGCTTTTTCTGTGCATTAAAACATGTGTATTAATAATGTATACTGTATGTATAATGTGTTCCCCGATTAACATTTAAATGTGTTGATTGATTGTTACGGAAACGTAGGCGTAGACCAATCAGAAAGGAAGGGGGAGGAGCTTGGGTTGTTTTTTCAAATCATGTACCTCTCGCTCTTTTTTCTGGCAAACTCCAGACAATCACTTTAAGTGTCCCAAAAAGCGCAATATAAAAGTAAGTAAGTAAGTAATCTTTATTTATATACCACCTTTTCACTGCAGAGCTGAGTCTCAAAGCGGTTTACAATTGTTAATTTTGGGCAATTGTTTCTCACTCCACACAGAGATGGGAGCAGGGTTAGACCTATTGTACATGTTTTTAGTGGTAGGGGAAACCAGAGTACCCGGAGGAAACCTACGCAGACAAAACCGATGCAACATTAATATTTTCAATTTCTCTGCGGCGCCAGGGTCTAGAGGGGGTTTGGGGACCGTATAATTTTGTTTGCAGACAATTTTGTCTTGTTGGCCTCAACAGTCCAGGACCTCCAACAGGCACTGGGACGGTTTGCAGCCAAGTGTGAAGCAGATGGAATGAAGATCTGTATTTCCAAATCCATTCCAGAAAAAAACATCCACTTTAGACTTATTTTTATTTGTGGTCTCACTGTGTGTCACGATCATGAGACAAAAACTACAATAGTTTGTAGTCAACATCAGATTGCTGCTCACCGTGACCCATCTTTGTGGTCGAGACACGAAACGAAACACACGGGTGTGGTTCACGAATACTTCAGTGAAGCAGTGGTCTACATTAGATTATGTATTATATTTGAGTATGCTTGTTTGGACCCCAGGTCTTATCATAGAGAATCTTCTTTATACATTTATATAGAAGAGATTTCCCAATACACCAAGAACTTACCAAACCATCAAACAAGACAAAAGTTTTCCTCTGTTATTCACAGAACTTTGTTTTCCTCCTGAAACAAATCTTGTCCCTGTCCTCAAGGCATGAGTTTGGTTTTCTCATTGTGCACATGCAGCTTTTTTCTCTCTATAAAGTTCAAAAGAGGAGACCTGCCCTTTTCTCAAGCCAGGGCGGCATTCCATTCACCTAAGGGAGTCATTGCAAATGTCAGGAGAGGCTGTTCAGAAGGACCTTTCATATAAAGAGTAGCCACCAGCATGGAGCTGCCATATGGAGCTATAACTCTGACCCTGTATGTGGACAATACAAAAGCAAAATAAACGTATGTTTGTTTATTTTGTTTCATTCTTTTCTGTTGTTGATGCAGCTCTGATTCATTATGTGCGCAGAAGACAGGCCCTTCCCCTGAAAGTAGAGACATGTCCTCTGTCCTCAATGTCAAGCATCATTGAAGGTAATTTTCACATTTAAAAAACAATACATTTTCAGTTAATAAAGAATCGGAATTGCTTGATCCCTGAAACTCTCTTTTCTATGGGTTGCAGCTGAAGTCTTTCAGGAGACCTGAAGAACCATGTAAATCTTTACTGACTCTGAGTCAAAATACTCATTTTCTGAGGCAGTTACAGCTGTAGCAACTGCTTGTGTCAAGTGGAAAACTAATGGAGTCTCTATTTTTCTAAAATATATTTCTCTAACGTATGTCTATTTTGAGGAAAATACATAAAAAGGATCCAGGCTTCCCTCTGGAGCTGAAGCAAGAACTTTTATCACAAATCACTGCAATGACAATGAAGGGTCATATTTATGACCTCAAATGTTTTTAGGTGGGAGGGGTTAACTCCTTTTGCAGAGTGCAACGATTGGATCTTAGTTTGCTGTTCTGTATTTAATGCGCCCGAGTGAGTGAGGAATTTAGCATTTAGCCTAGCTTGCC